GGAGATGGCTGAGGTAACTCGTGTGGAGCAGAGTCAACCCTGCGTTGCGCAGTTCGCAACGGCACGTTGAGAGATCCTCAACGCACGCTGTATGGGCGGAGACGCAGACGGCTCGAGCATGCGAGTGTGAATGTTCGCGCGAGAGAACGTGTCTAATCGGGCGAAACTGCGCAACGTGGCCGTTGAGAACTGCGCAACGCAGGGTTGACTCTGGTCCACCCTACTTCTGTTATTGTTGAGCAGGGAGGAGAAGGAGGCCGAACCACTGCACAGTGGTCCAAGCAACCCCTCCCGTTTAAAGCACATTCGTTCAAGTTCGCGGTCGCGAAATTTGCATATTGCTGCAAAAATTCTTTTTTTATTCTTTTTCTCTATTTCTCTTACTTGTTACTCCTTATACTTGGAGCCGTCTGCGGGTTTCGATGAATTATGCGTTTATGAGCAAGAATTTCAGTTATAAGCAGAATGCTGTTCGTCTGTCAAAGCTAATGTCCGAGAAGCCGTTCTCTGCTGAAGAGCGGCTCATTCGATGGACGAGTTTTGCTGTTGAGAACGGTGTTTTGGATGAGCTTCATGTGGAAGGCTCACGCATGAATTTTATCACTTACTTTAACCTGGACGTCATCGCCGTTGCTACAGCCGTTCTATGTCTAGTCATCTTCCTAGTACTCAAGTCACTAAGCGTTTTTTGCTGCCGGAGACGTGACACTAAATTGAAACGCCAATAACTGCTCTAATTCAAGTGCTATGTGTTAACTACTATGTGTTGACTATTACATTAAAAATGCGTCCTCTTCATCAGTGCTTCTGGTTCTGTAATCTTATTATCAAATCTGCAAACACGTTTTCAGAACCTTTAGGAGTAAAATTTTGTATAGGTATTGAGCATGCATTCGTATGGCGAATAAATGACGAAACGGCATTGTGATCGTGATCGCTTGAAGCATCATCGAGCAACCAACGAAACTAATTGGAAAACTACATGTTTATATACACTAATGGCGATCAGTGCGGACGCAATAGCCTGTTTGTGTCCCCTCTGGAGGAAAATCGTGGTCGTGTTTTCTGTGATGGGATTTTCTGCGAATGAAGTAAAGGACCTCATTGAAGCTGCACCAGAAAAAAAGGCAAGTGCCGAAACAACCCATGCCTCAAGGTGGCACGAGCCGACCCATTCCATTCTGTGGTAAGTTTTGTGTGGTGGAAACCTCACCTTTGAAAATGTGCGCGCGCAGCGTGATTTAACTGTGAGGACAGGCAATGCCTGTCAGACAATGCGCGTAATAGAGGCCGTATGAGAGTTATGACAGAAACTGACACAGTAAATCACTTCTCGGCATCTCCTTCATTTCATTCACGAATATTGCGAGGTATTTCGACTGTTTGTCATGCAAGGACGGGGTGATCTTAAAGGAGGTAATCGTCTAGGCACAACGGAAAGGAATATTGATATGAACTAGAAAACTAAACCCAACGAAAAACTAAACTAACTAAACGAAAAACTAGCCGTGCAGCTCACTTCTGGGCAATGTCTCTACTAATGTACGGAACCTAATATCTAGTGGTAGTGTCCTCTAGCAAGGAATGCAATACCAGACATGGAAATTGCCCAAGTCAACTAGGCTTTTCGCCTATCCGAGGCCGGTGTCAGATTTTGGCCAAGGCAGACTTTACGAATCTAGGGACGCACCAGCGAATCGAACTGTTCACCGGCGGGACGAGAGAGCCTCTCGCTACCCAAATCAGTGCCTCGAGCACTGGTTCATCGCTCGTATCCTGCGATTCGCTAGCTAGTCGCTGGATTCGCAAAGCCTGACATGGGTTTCATATTAGGTATCAGTTAGAGCATAAATGCAAATGACTCAATGCCTATATGCACGCGAGCCATTCGCCGTTAACGTAGGCCAAGTACTTATACTGATATGAAAGTGAAACACGTGACACAACAACGAATTGGTCACACATCACTTACTTGCATTCATTTTTTGCTTTGAATTTGCTCCAACACTGTGCACGCTCCCATCACAATTCTGTTAAACACCTACGCTACTGTCCCAGTTTGCGGGACTCGTTGTTACGTATTATGAGGAAAATAGCCATCACACTTGAATGGCGGCCTCATGGAGGAGTTGGTAGGGGCATCGGGGAGCTTCCATTGTCGATGCATTACGATTCCCAAAAAAAGGCGTGAGGCCCTTGGTATTGTGCAGCCTCATTCACTGGCGCTGATTGGTTCGGCGGGATCTATAGAGGTGGAACTCTCAACCTATCGAGAAGATGAAGGTGTGCAAATGGTAATGGGTCAAAGGTACAATTCACTATGGCGATGATTCATACTTGTAGTGATTACCATAGGTAATCCACAGGTATCACAGTT